CCCGGCCCTCAGAGCGGCGCTGCCCCTACCCCGGCCCGCGCTGCTGGGGCGCGCACGGCCCCGGCCAAGCCGCTCCTGCGAGTGGCTGCTCTGGATTTGAACAGCAACATTCCTCTGGGTGTTGCCAGGCCCTGTGTCAATGCAGTGGTTGAACAACTGCAAAGCTGCCTTTGAGGTCAGCAATAGGCAAGTGGCTTTGAGTCTGCTGAAAGCCGAATTAAGGGAACTTATAGAGTTCGTCCCTCTTCAAGAGCCTCACTGGCAGCATGCCTCTAAAAGTAGAAATGCCAACTTCTCTAGAACCCCCAATAACCGGAAGACATTCATCTTAAGGAACGTCTTGAGTCACAGCCCTTCTTGTAGAAACAAGAAGAGGGAAGAGGCTGGCAGAGAGTTTAGGAGGGATTTTATGTTACTACAGTGTGTCAGAACACTACCAAATAATGCGCAGTTACAGAAGTTTTGCCCCAAAAATCCTACAATTGAAGAACCAAGCATAGTACAACCAAGTTCTAAAGCCTGTACTACAGGCTCTGTACCAACACCAGCTTGGTAGGTACAAAGATAATTACATTATTTTGCTAGGGTATTGCTTAGTAGTTTATTCAAGAGCCACAGCAAATACCCCTGAGAATTTGGTGAGTTAAGTGGTTTTGCTTGAGCCTTAAGTGGAATAGACACTTAAGCAGTTCCCACCTCCAGAGCCAGCTGCAGATAAACTATGGTTCACCTTCCCCCAGCTATAGGTGACAGTGCTACTACATGCTGTAGTTAGCCCTCGAGCCACATTGCCTCTGCTGTTGGACACAAGTCCTGTTTAAAAGGTTTGACAAGGACTGCTTTCCCAAAGGTGCTACAGTGTCACTAAGCCACCAAAGAAAGCAATCCTAGAGAAAGACCATGGATATATAGAATCATAGAATATGCTGTGCTATTCCAAATGGATTCAGAGGGAAGTTAAATTAAAACTGTGTTTAGTGATAATAAACAAGTGTTGTTTATTAAAAAATAAAACATCTTCAAAATACTTTCACACGCATATATACACATAGAGACACTATTGCTTTAATATTTTTGACTTATGATTTTAGAAATCAGCTGTTTTAAATTACAGAAACCATATATCAGCAAAGTCCCACTTCAGCAGTATCATATACATCATTGCATTTGAAGACAACTGAAATAGTAAACCAGGCTTCAATAGAAACAAAATTATTTTTAAAATATATGTTCTAATTAGAGAAAATATAAATAATCTTAGAAGGTTAAAAATTAACGTGTTATAGATTGAACAATGTTGGAGAAAAAAACTGACAAAGGAAACAGACTGTCATATTCTCTAGGTTACCTCAAGGGCTGAATTTGCATTTCCCTAGAGTACTACATTAAGTAATTATTACTATTGCTCTGACTCCAGACATAAGCCAAACTAGTACTTTGATTACTTCAAACAAGCTAATGTTGCAGAAATGCCAATTGCTCATTTATTTTGTTGTTCTTGATTTTAATGGAATTCTTAAGAGAAAGGAATATGGGCTTGAATCACTAAATGCTGATAAAAATGTAACATTTCAGACTAGTTTAAGAAAAAGAAAGTAATATTTCTATCACATGCTTCTATTGAAAGGTCTTGTTTTGCCTTTGCATTATGTACTAAGGAGGTACCATGCACATTATGTACTATGGAGGTACTCGGGAACTCCCGAAGCTGACGGCAAGAGCCCAAGCAAACCTGCAACTACAGCCAGCGACAAGTGTTTGCATCTATCTGTGCTGTGCCATGAGAATCCTTCACTGGATTGCCACATCTCCAAAAGAACTCACCCCAGTGTAGCATGTGCTAAGGTAATTAGACAATAAAAGGAAAAGTAAGGAAGTCCTTTCTGAAAAGGAAAACATTATTATAATGGTTTTATAAAAAACCTAAGATGAATCTTTGATGGAGATCCAGTACAGAAAATCTCACAGACTGTCAGGCTGAGGCTGACATTGATAGGGCAGGTGGGAAAGAATTCACTGCACTGGCTGCAAAAACTCTGATGTGAACACAGCTTCTGCATAGTCCTCACAAACATCCTGCAGCTCTGCTGCCACATCACAAAGGGCTTCTTCTGTCAGCTGCTCTGCAAGACTAAGGGAGAGGAAGGACAAAAAAAGAGAAGGAAAAGGTTCAGAAAGTCAGATTTCAAATTCCAGTCTTTCACTTCCAAACCACAAAGACAGTTCATATACCTCTCAGCAATCTGCCATGGATCAAAACTGCCCACTACTTCATGGGAAATAAGCTTTAAATGATGCTTGTATCTGCTGTTATAATCCAAGATGCTCTGGAGCACATTGCTTGGCACAGAGACAGACACAGAATACGCTTTCTGTAGAGACTTCAGAGGCAAGGACTGCAGAACGTAATTTTCAGACTGCAATTTCTCCTTTGCTTCTTTATTTTCATCAATATCACTGGAAATATAAAATAATCAAGACAGAACTAAATTTTTAAGTCTCTTTTTGAAGAGTCAGTGTAATGAAAACACTGGAATGAAGTCACATAGATCTTATGCACCACTGTTTAGTGTGGGGCAAATTATTCCACTTACGTGCTGTCAAATGGTTTTTCAAATAAAATGTCTGTTTCCAGCTCTGTGTGTCTGATTAATTTAGTTATCTGAACTGGATGAGGAGATATAAGTTTTTTAGCTGTTGATGCCATTTGTTGTTCTAGAAGGAAGAAAATACCATTTTAAATTGGATTTTTGAAAGAGAAAAACTACATCTACAGCAGATTAAGTCCTTACAAAGACCTGTTTCTTTTAAGGGCAAGTCCTTCAGGTAAGTAAAGTATTCAAAGTGAGAAAAAACATAAATTCAGCTCAGTGTATTAAAGCTGAGCATTCTAGAAGTACTACCTTTAGTATAAATCATTTGTGCTGCCAGTGGGTGCTTCTAGCAGAGATAGAAAATACCACTGTAAAAATAGCACAGTCTATTAAACTCCATGGTAAATCCAAGACATAGAAAAAGAATCCATAAAGATTTGGGGTAAATCCTTACCAGTCTTACTGTGAGATTTTCCAACTTATGTTAAACAACACAGTTTCAGTAAAGTTGTATGTGATCCAATGGAAAAACAATGTAGCTTCACTGTGCTACTCAATCAAACCATAGGATAAAGAAAAGGAATGCTGATAAAGAATTGATTTTAGAACTGTATCTTAGAAACTGTGCTCTGAAAGAAGCACTTATGGTAAAAAGTGTCCAAGTGGTGCTATTTGATCACACATAGTCCAATGACTTTGATTTCAATACACCTGAACTTAAACCTACAGTTTCTAATAAAACCAAGTTGTGTTAAAAAAGACAATTACCCATTTTGTCTTCCTGGGCCCAGAACTGGGAGTCACTGTAGACAATCTGTGTGACTCTCCTGCGGACAGCCTCCTGGTACATCTGTGGTGGAACACACATCAGTCAGTCAAGTGTGTAACATATATACAGCTCAGCTGTACTGATTATCACCAACAGGAAAGCAAGCAATTGTCCTCCTTGGGCAAAGCAGGCTTATTTTAGCTGGTAACACAACACAGAAAAGGGCTGGGGGATTGAAAACACAGACATTTATCTTGTTCAAAATGTCATACTTGAATACAAAACTAATTGCCAGTCCCACGGGAATTCCTCCCATTTCAGACCAACAGCCCTCAGCCAAACAACTCAAGGCCCTCCAACTGCTCCTGTCTCACCAACTGTGAATCCAAATGTGTGCTCCAGTGCCTCAGGGACAAGGACACTGCAGCTTCACACTTCCAACTGATGAACAGATCTCTAGAAGTAAATGGCACTAAACTGAGTAGTTCTAAGTCACAATAAATTTCAGAGAAAGTCAAAATAGAACTCAAACCAGAAATGATGAAAAAACAGATTAAAGAAAACTTTTTAAGAAACCAATACATGAGAAAGTTCAAGTCAAGTAAACTATAACCTTATGTATGAATATTTATATAGAAAGATGAATAAAAGGCACAGATAACTATGTATTCATCTGACTTCTCCATGATGCCCTGTGAAATACTTCGGATTGCCAGAGCATATTTCCTCAAGATGGTCATGCTACTAGAATACTGAAATTCTATAGCACACAAAAGGGAAAAATTCAAATTAATATTAAAATACTTTCCAATCTGCTAGACAATCAAAATAATCACCATACTGATTCTGCCATTCATATACAATGATTTAAGCCACAAAATTTTAAGATGGGATGCAAACTCAGGTCTGCCAACTTTATAGCAACAGATTCATCAAACACTCTGCTTCTGTTCTAACATGGTGTTTTCTGGAAGCATAAACTCCATCCAGGTCTTTGATCTCAGACACTGATCCAGTCAGACCTTGCTTCATTTAAGAATGCAGATACTTACAGATACTATAATTTGTGGACAGCAAATAAGAAATTAACACTAATGAGACCAACCAAGACAGAAAATCTTACTTCAATTTCTTCCATTCTTTGCAACATTGACTCCAGGCTATGAGTGTCAGCCACAGGCAGAGCCTCAGTTTGGAGTCTCTCAAGTTGATCCATGCTCCACAGCTCCCGAGCAGTATCTTCCAAAAGATCATCCAATAGCTTTTCACTCAGAATATCTGCATTTGTTGCAACCTGCTACTTAAAAAAACAAACCCCAAAAACAAATGCCACAGAAAACAAAAAGACACAAACTCAATACAAGAAAGAAACCCAAACAAAAACAAAGGTAACTTCCATTAAGTTGAAAAGAAACTGTTGCTCTTTTATAAAAATTTGACAGCTCTCAAGGCATCATTCACCCAGTGGCATGATCTTGTCTGTACTACCTGTGTCCTGTCTAACGGAGGCTCTGACCACTCCTGTACCTCCTTCCCAGCTTTCTCTGCACACTGGGCTGGAGAAACAGTTCGTGACCTGCACAAAGAACAACAAATGACAATGCCATTCGGAAAGCTATTATGACAACAATAATTTTAAACATCAAACTATATAAATGTATTTTTGGGAGGACTGTTGGGAGTGGGGAGAAACTCAGATCTGACACTCCTTATAAGATTTTTCAAATAAAGTCATTACCTCAACTTTTGTATTTTTTCCATTTCTCCTCTGCAAAGGTGAGTTAGAATTCCTCTTGAATGTTTTGCTTCAAGCCTTGCTAATCTTCAAAAATAGCACAGTAGCATAGAAACTTACAAAATGTACATTGTAACAATTGAAGAATGAAATAGTGTGATTTTCCATTATTAGTTTGAAAGAGTTACAAGAAACTTTAGAGAGAAAATTAATAGATTTTGAGACCATATAAGCCAGAAAAATCTGTTGAGAATGAGGGAACTTGAATCATGTTTCTGCTGTTGGCAAACAGGAACTACTTGATTCTCCACAAGTACTGTCCAGAGAAATGAGCTCCTCATCTTACCATGCACACTGCCTAGTTCTGATCCAGCAACTGGATCTCCTGCTCCAAATGCCACAAACATCAGTCCCAAACCAACCTAAATTTGAAGACCCCTGTGTAACAGCATGTTGAATAGAGTTTAGAGTAAACAAACCTGCCCTTTATTATTGTCTGGGACAAATATATACATCTTGTCCTTCTGAAACGGGGAGATAATATTTACTTTCTTAATGTAGTGCTGGGAATACCCACTCCTCCTCCTGTGTTTTGCCACTGCCCTGCCTTGCACAGTTTGGCCTTGACTCCCAGGCAGCAACTCAGGCAAAAGACTAAAGCCCTGGCCCTTCCCAGGCTATAGGGAATGGGGCTGCTCTGGGCCAAGTGGGAAAGGAGAGCAGCTATGTGACAGCAAGCTGCGCTGTGCCACTGGACTGAAGCCAGGCCAACTCTATCCTAGTCACTAGCACAGATCCAGAAGCTTCTCCACTGGGAAGCAGTGCAAAGGTGGGTGCCAAGGACTGCAAACATACCGCTTAGGTGAAACAGACCGAGGTGAAGGCTTTGAAGGCATGCAAGGCATTTTGCTCTCCTTAACAGGTCGTTTGTTCTCTTTTAGTTGGAAAGCTATAGTTGGCTCTTGAAATCGGGCATGCTTTCCCAGAGGGTTTGTCCGTCTTGAGTTTAAAGATTTCAGCATTCCCTTAAAATTAACATGATCACATTAAAAACACATATTCCAGCTGCTGAATTTTTAAAGTATTTTGCATTCTGCTTTAGACTTTGTCTTGAAATCATGCCTGCTGGCTTTTCTGCAGTTGATGTATGTGAAAGTTTTACAAGTGCGTTAAAGGGAAGTACAGCTGTGCCTGAACAGAATATATGCTTAATCCTGCAACTATTATTTTTGCAAACAGTTCAAACTTTTCCAGTGTTGCTCTTCCTGTGGAAAAAACTTCATTTTGATTTTTCAGAATTAGACTCTATGCTAACTATTCATAAATCCAAATAGAAGGTTTCCAAGGTAACATTGTATTCAGCCTCTGAGGAAGGGATAAAGAGAAAATACACTTACTAGCAAAATATAGCCCATGTCTTTTAAGAATTGTTTTGTTTGCACTATGAAGCTCCTTTCTGGTTGCAAGGACTTAGCAGAAATCAGAACTTGTATAGTAAAGTTTTATAATTTACCAATTAAGTAAGCCTGAGTAACATATATTCTCCTACTAACATTAGCGCAACATTACTGCTGAGTGCATTTTTTGTGACACAAGATGACCACAGGAGGAAGATACTTCAGCTTTAATTTCAAATTGAAGAGTACACATTAATATCAAACATGATAATGATAATTTGATTAATATCAAACATGATTAATGTTTCAGTGAACATTTTCCTCATCAATTCTGTTGTTTCTAGTTGTAGAGTATATTTCTAAGGAACAAGAAACACTGTTTTCGAAAATAATTTGCTAAAATAGTCATAAGCACTAGAAATAACAGGCAGATTGCATAGTTTACTCCCTATGTCTCCTAGCTCAGAATAGCAGTATTGTGAGGAAGTGCGAAGCTTTGACTGTGTCTTACAGAACAAATCCTAGAGGACAAGTAGAAGACAGCATAAATGATTTATCACTTCCATACCTGTGGTTTTGCAGGCAGTAACATACTTTTCTTCTTCAAAGCACTATTTTCAAGGACAGACTCTTTTCTTACAGCTCTACCTCTCACCAGTACATTTGTGCTTCCTTGCAAAAAGGCATTTCTCTCTGAAGTAGGTGGGCCACTTTCTTCTTGATATTTATTGTGTAACATATGGGCACAACTGTTTGCCTGTTGAACTGCTGAAATATTTGCAACATGTCAATGTTTATCTATACTAAAAATAACACATGAACTGTTAACTCTAAATCAAAAGGGCAAGAATTCTCTTTTTTTCTACATTTGATACCTCTGTTATGCTAGGTAGCACTATGCTACCTCTGTTATGAACTTTTAAGCTCTACCATAATTTTTAAAAAATGAAAGACAAGATGAAAAATTCTAGCCTTGTATTTCCTGACAAGTATTAAAAGCAATTATCTTTCTTACATTGTTTTGATGAACAGGAAGGTCTGGGGTTTGTGTGCATATGCATATAAATATGTACAGAGATATTTGAAAATATACATATATATATACAAGTCATGGGTGCAATTGCTATATGGGGTCTAGGCAGTCATAACAACGCATCCTCTTTTAGGCACCAAGACACATGGAAACCATTAGGTGCTTATATACTGTCTCCCTGGACTGCCAAAGATGAATTCAGCATATGGAATTCTTGCTGCCTGAGGTATGACAAAGTCACCACAAAGAAAAAAAACAGTTAATATAATTTATATAATAATGTAAGAACTTACAGTGGCTTTCATAAGGTGGCAAAATACTTCAGGTAAATTTATCTCACAGCACCTTAAGAATAAAGCTCCTTTCCTTTCATACCCAAAGCAAAAAAATAATATAGAAAGCCAGCTCTGAACAATTGCATTGCAAGATAGTGGTGAAAACCTTCAAGTCTTCAGATTAACCATCAATTAGTATGTCTCTAGGTAGAGAAGTGTGATTATTCATTACATTAACAGTAACTGGCCAGTAATGTACTGGCCAGGATAAAACAGCCATTGCTCCCAGAAGCAGAGAAATTGTACAAACCAAGGGAATTCTGAGCCAAAGCCACAGAATTACTTTTCAGTATGAACAGTTATACAACCACAGCCTGGTTTTTGTTAAGACTGATTTGCTGACCTCTAACTGACTTCTGAACAGCAATACCATACTAAAAAAATTGAACTCTAGATGGCAAGTTAAGTGATAATAATGTATTTAGTTATTCAAAATACAAACCAGTCAAAAGACTCCTGGCACATGGAGGTTTTTTAGACTCTTGTCCATGCTGTCCCTTTAAGGTGAGAGGTTTGTTTTCTCCCTTTGGAGAGAGAAGCTTTCTTGTTGGAAATGCTTCAGTGTTCCTTGGAGATTTGGCCTGAGAAGCTGAAATACATTTCTTCACTGTTTTTGATGTTTGCTTGTTTTCCAGCAGTGAATTCAGATCCTGCATCAAATATTTAGAGTTTTAATTATTCTCTCAGCAGATCTGATGTAATGAAAAGAAAATTCAAGACATTCTAAGCAGTTGGAGCTTTTTTGGTCTGTTTTTGTTTTGGTTTTTTTTTTTCAGATAGTGATTATTTCTGATAGCTTTGTCATGTAGAAGCTTTTTCATATTACTAACTTAAATCTTACTGAAAAAGCTTACATTTTCGTATTTACAACAGACTCCAGCAAACCATTTGCTTACAGAATGTTCAAAAAGAATTGAACACAAGGGCTACAGACCAACAAAAATTTCATGGTCACATAAATATGGTGACAAAGACACTTCTTCCAATGCTATGTCCAAACTTAAACAACTACCTCCTTTCCCATTCCCAGGCAGTTAGCACTCTTACTGTTCTCATAAGCAGGTCATAACAGCAAAATTAAAGACGCAGCTCTTACAGTTTTAACAGCATTTTTAAGGAAAGCATCTTATGGCTCTGATATTGCTTTTTTTTAATTTATGCAGCAGGCGACATGAATCAGAACTTTTCAATGATACTAATGACATCTATAAGTCATCAGATATCAATAAATTAGATATTTGAAGGGCACAGAGCCAAGCAGTTCTTGTACCCACAACTTTATCTTCTGCCTGGACAACTCTGCACCCACCACCATATGAGATGCTCAGGTGCTCATCACTGATGCTGATGACTAAAGCATGCATCCAGAGTAATAAACACTTAATGCACACCTAATGTATAAAATTAATTCTCTTGGTTCTGAAAATGACTAATGAATTAGGAACTGATGCTTTGTTACCATTATCACTACTACTTCTCATTCTACTAGGACAGCCAAGAAAGCTAGGAACAGCATCAACAAGCAGCAGGTAGCTTCTGTGTTTAGGATGCACGTCTGTTTTAGACCACCATTACTTAGGAACATTAGAAGTACTTTTTTATGTTAGAAAATATGACCTTTAAAAAATAAAAACAAAACCAGTAATTTATAATCTGCCATTTCATGAACACAATCTCATATTTCGCTACATCTTTCCTGCCTTAGCAAAAACAAATGTTTTTTTCCTACCTCAACTTGCAACAAAATATCTATGATAACTTCAGAAATGGAAGAATCCCCTTCTAGTTTGGCAGAACAGAGAGACAGTTGACGAATGAGACTGCCCAGTTCCTTGTAGTGGGCTGGAATCTGCTCATCTGTTTGATCTGTAAACTGATTGGCAAATGCCTGCAAGGTTCGTACAGCTCCTCTGTGTGCTGCTGCCAACCTGGATACTGCTCGAGACTGGAAAAATGAAAAATAAATAAATGCTTTAATAACTATAGTTTCTATGGATACTTATACTATTGGAAGAATTGTTGCTGAAATTTCATGTAGAAACATTGATGTTTGGAATAATTTTGATTGCTGTTAAGCCATTTATTTGCGAGAAAAAGCAAAACAGGCATTGAAGTAATTTACTCAAGATTCCTCACAAGAGTACTCCTATCGATGTCATGCTGGCTTCAGGTAAAACAGCCTGGGGATAACAGGTCATGAGGTTTCTACTACCTGTGCCAACATAGAGCTGTCATCTACAGTTGGCTGGAGCCTAATGCGCAAACAAGAATATTCTCAATCCTCTGTGTTTTGTTACAGAAGAAAATGCAGGTAATCGAAAAAGGACAAGAGAACAACAGGGCAACATCGGCCAGACTGTAAGTTGTGATCTCAGCCATCCCCCTGAAAGGAGTTGGGCAGAGAAGAAAATCAGAAAGAAAGCTGGTAAGACTGAGTGTCATCAAACAGAAGTTTTAAAAAAAAGCAGTCAAGAGTAGAACACATTGCTAATTCCTTACAAAAAGGAATTGAAATTAAGAAGGAATTAGAAGCCACATAAATGCAGAAGACCAACCACCTGCCTCTCATTTACTGCAAACGAGAGCTGAGGAGAAGAGGGAAGTAGCAAAGGCAGTGTCAGGCCAAGTGAGCCATACTTCTTGGAAAATGAGACAAAATGTGTAAGATACAAAGGAAATCCCCTTTCTGGAGAGAGCTCAGCTGCACCCCAGACAATCAAACTCAATTATCCAGAAAACTCTGTAAGTTGCTTGCACCCTGAAGGATAATTACATCTTACCTTTTTAGTATGTTTGATTGTATGAGGACTCAGTTTCTCTAAATCGTCCTGAATTTCTTTTACCTGTTTATCAAGAAAGGAGACAGAGAGAAGCAAGTCAGTCACAATTAGTTCCATGTCTATAAATGAACAATAGATCTTCACTGTAGCATCTGAGATTTTCCAGTAGTGACACTCACCTCTCTGTCCAGCCATGAGGGAAATCAGTCACATCATTCAGAATAAACTAGAATGCCATGGAAGTTCAGCAACAACCCGATTGACTTTCTCTTGTTCCAGTTAGTTTCTGACAAATTCATCACAACAAACTAAACTCCTATGCATCCCAGTTTAAAATCATGGTTCCTACCTGTTGCTGGAGCACATATAGCATCCGAGCTGACCGTGCAGCTTGTTGCTGTCTCCTAGTGCAAAGCCGCTGCTCGTTTTCAGGATCGAGTTCTCTATCTCTCCCTAAAAAGCATAGAATACAAAGTTTTATACCGTAATTTAACCTGTGAAAATCCCAATTAAGTCATGACAACAGACATAATTTAGTAATAAGACTTTTCCAAGCAGAACCAAGCCACCTATTTGTGCAGGGTTCTTTTAACAGTAATGCATGTTAGTTATTGAAAACTCTATGTCCTGTTTCTATTTAGAATTTGACTGAAGTCTCATGCGATATAGCTCGTTAGTTATTTTAAAAATCATGTGACCCCTAAGTTTTATGACAAAGTTGCAGAAAAAGCACTCAAAATTAGGAATGGTTAAACCTCCTGCTAGTTACTACAAAAGAACCAACTGCTTAAACTGGCTAGCTATTCTATCTTGTATAAACTTTTCAAAAAAAAAAAAAAAAAAAAGATGGTTCTCAAAAGTCTAGACATAAATATGAATTCTAATATAACCCAAAAAATGGGGGAAAAAAATCAACGAACTAGTGTATATTTATATAAGATAATTACTGTGCAGTCTAAACACCTTTTTTAATAATTTCTTCAATTTTCTGGACATAGCTCCTCAATTCTTTTTGCAGACGCTGGACTTCCTGCATATTCTGATGTTCTTTTTTATTTAAATTTTGCTTGGTGTCTGGTCTGGTATCATGGGTGGGTGGAGAGTCCAAAACAGCTGGTATTTGCCTTCCCTTCTTAACTACGCAGAGATAAACGTTCGCGTCAGAGCTGGCAGACTCCCCTTGGAAAGGCTGGTCGAGCCTCTGCTGACATGTTGAGCGAGTCTGAGACTTCAGGGCTTTTTTGTTTTTTTGACTTGCAAATACTTCAGTCTTCTGCTGCTGTGATTTCTGGGTCCACAATGGTGTACTGACATCTCCAAACACCTGCCGTTTCACTTGCTCTTCGAGACGTCTTTGTCTGATGTCCCTTTTTGCCAGCTGAACAGCCAATTTCAGTCTCTCTTCAGATACCACTGAGAACATCCCAGAGCTTCTCAGGCTGGGGTCCTCATTTCCAACCAGATTTCTCTGATTATTGGATGCCTTCAGTTTTTCTATTATAATTGGACGGGGATGAGAGAATCTGAGAGCCAAGTTCTCTGGAACTGCCGGGACACTTCTATTAAACTGGAGCTGTTCAAAGCATAAAAAAACCCTGATGTTAGAACATACAGAACACTATAAACAGGTGATGCAACTCATGATGGCACCATTTTGGATTTGTGCTGAACACAGTGCTAATATCAATGTTTTCATTCTTGTTAAGTAGTGCTCACAGAGGTCAAGGCTTTTTCTGCTCCTCACTTGCTCACCTCTGAGTAGCCTAAGGGTGGGCAAGAAGCTAGTGAGGAAACAACTGGATGGCTGACCCCCATCTGACAAAAGGGATATTCCACACCCTTTGGCATCATGCTCAGCAGTAAAAGCTGCAGAGAAGAAGGAGAAACAGAAGACTGGTGAACAGCATTTGTCTTCCTCAGTCACTGTCATATGCACTGAAGTCGTGGAAGCGGCTGAACTCCTGCCCACTGATAAGATGTAGAGAATGAATTCCTTATTTTGCTTTGTTTGTGTACACAAACAGGAAAGCATTTGCTTTCCCTGTTGACCTGCCTTTATCACAAGCCGTAACTTTTCATACTTTTCACCTTCCAGTTCTCCTCCCCATGCCAACTGGCAGAGAGTGAGCAAGTGGCTGCATGCTCAGCTGCCTACTGGGATTGAACCACAACAGAAAATTAAGAATAACTGCATATACAGTTTGTGATCTCTACCCTTAACAAAGGACAGTGTCAAGATAATGTGTGACAACATGAGGAAAGCTGGTATAACACTCCCTGCTGGGCTGTCTCACGAAGTGGGTCAGAATAATCTTTTTGTTACAATCACAAAGAAAACCAATTCAGCATCACTACAGACGGCATATGGTACCTGTGTTTGTAAAGCTTTAGCTTCATTCCTGTATCGTTGGGTGGCGAATGCATCCTCAGACACCGCGGTCTTGCTCAGTCCCATCTCATCGGCATGAGAGCAAATCCCGCTACTGTCCCTTGCTTGTGATCACAGCTGTGAATGGGAGAACAATAAACGCTTATTTCAGACTCGCAAAAGCCATCCCGGGTCTGACGTGAGCAACAAAGAGAGAACCAGCCCGAGGGAGCCGCGGAGAGAAGACTGGGGCGGTCTCTCTGCAACCGCCCAAGGCCCGCGGCTGCTCCCGGCCCGGGCCCTCACGGCGTCCCGGGCGGCACCGGCACCAGCGGGTCCTGGGCGCTGCCGCAAGGCAGAGGGAGGGGAGGCAGAGAGGAGGGAGGGAGGGAGGAGGCAGAAAGGCAAAGAGGAGGGAGGCGGAGGGAGGCAGAGAGGGC